GTTCAGTTCTAGTTCAGTTCTAGTTCAGTTCTAGTTCAGTTCTAGTTCAGTTCTAGTTCAGTTCTAGTTCAGTCTAGTTCAGTTCTAGTTCAGTTCTAGTTCAGTTCTAGTTCAGTTCTAGTTCAGTTCTAGTTCAGTTCTGGTTCAGTTCTAATTCAGTTCTGGTTCAGTTCTAGTTCAGTTCTAGTTCAGTTCTAGTTCAGTTCTAGTTCAGTTCTAGTTCAGTTCTAGTTCAGTTCTAGTTCAGTTCTAGTTCAGTTCTAGTTCAGTTCTTGTTCAGTTCTTGTTCAGTTTTAGTTCAGTTCTAGTTCAGTTCTAGTTCAGTTCTAGTTCAGTTCTAGTTCAGTTCTAGTTCAGTTCTAGTTCAGTTCTAGTTCAGTTCTAGTTCAGTTCTAGTTCAGTTCTAGTTCAGTTCTAGTTCAGTTCTAGTTCAGTTCTAGTTCAGTTCTAGTTCAGTTCTAGTTCAGTTCTAGTTCAGTTCTAGTTCTTTCTAGTTCAGTTCTAGTTCAGTTCTAGTTCAGTTCTAGTTCAGTTCTAGTTCAGTTCTAGTTCAGTTCTAGTTCAGTTCTAGTTCAGTTCTAGTTCAGTTCTAGTTCAGTTCTAGTTCAGTTCTAGTTCAGTTCTAGTTCAGTTCTAGTTCAGTTCTAGTTCAGTTCTAGTTCAGTTCTAGTTCAGTCTAGTTCAGTTCTAGTTCAGTTCTAGTTCAGTTCTAGTTCAGTTCTAGTTCAGTTCTAGTTCAGTTCTAGTTCAGTTCTAGTTCAGTTCTAGTTCAGTTCTAGTTCAGTTCTAGTTCAGTTCTAGTTCAGTTCTAGTTCAGTTCTAGTTCAGTTCTAGTTCAGTTCGAGTTCAGTTCTGTTCTAGTTCAGTTCTAGTTCTAGTTCAGTTCTAGTTCAGTTCTAGTTCAGTTCTAGTTCAGTTCTAGTTCAGTTCTAGTTCAGTTCTAGTTCAGTTCTAGTTCAGTTCTAGTTCAGTTCTAGTTCAGTTCTAGTTCAGGTTCTAGTTCAGTTATAGTTCAGTTCTAGTTCTAGTTCTAGTTCTAGTTCTAGTTCAGTTCTAGTTCAGTTCTAGTTCAGTTCTAGTTCAGTTCTAGTTCAGTTCTAGTTCAGTTCTAGTCAGTTCTAGTTCAGTTCTAGTTCAGTTCTAGTTCAGTTCTAGTTCAGTTCTAGTTCAGTTCTAGTTCAGTTCTAGTTCAGTTTCTAGTTCAGTTCTAGTTTTCAGTTCTAGTTCAGTTCTAGTTCAGTTCTAGTTCAGTTCTAGTTCAGTTCTAGTTCAGTTCTAGTTCAGTTCTAGTTCAGTTCTAGTCAGTTTCTAGTTCAGTTCTAGTTCAGTTCTAGTTCAGTTCTAGTTCTAGTCTAGTTCAGTTCTAGTTCAGTTCTAGTTCAGTTCTAGTTCAGTTCTAGTTCAGTTTAGTTCAGTTCCAGTTCAGTCTAGTTAGTTCAGTTCTAGTTCAGTTCTAGTTCATTTCTAGTTCAGTTCTAGTTCAGTTCTAGTTCAGTTCTAGTTCAGTTCTAGTACAGTTCTAGTTCAGTTCTAGTTCAATTCTAGTTCAGTTCTAGTTCAGTTCTAGTTCAGTTCTAGTTCAGTTCTAGTTCAGTTCTAGTTCAGTTCTAGTTCAGTTCTAGTTCAGTTCTAGTTCAGTTCTAGTTCAGTTCTAGTTCAGTTCTAGTTCAGTTCTAGTTCAGTTCTAGTTCAGTTCTAGTTCAGTTCTAGTTCAGTTCTAGTTCAGTTCTAGTTCAGTTCTAGTTCAGTTCTAGTTCAGTTCTAGTTCAGTTCTAGTTCAGTTCTAGTTCAGTTCTAGTTCAGTTCTAGTTCAGTTCTAGTTCAGTTCTAGTTCAGTTCTAGTTCAGTTCTAGTTCAGTTCTAGTTCAGTTCTAGTTCAGTTCTAGTTCAGTTCTAGTTCAGTTCTAGTTCAGTTTTAGTTCTAGTTCAGTTCTAGTTCAGTTCAGTTCTAGTTCAGTTCTAGTTCAGTTCTAGATCAGTTCTAGTTCAGTTCTAGTTCAGTTCTAGTTCAGTTCTAGTTCAGTTCTAGTTCAGTTCTAGTTTCAGTTCTAGTTCCGTTCTAGTTCAGTTCCAGTTCAGTTCTAGTTCAGTTCCCACTAAAATACGAATTCATTCCTTAAATATCCTGTCCAAAATACCACAAATACCAGCAAACCAAATAAACACGAACAAAAACAAATAAGTGAGCTAGAAAAAGACAGAAATAAAAATTTTTCCTCTACAACACGAAGAGAGTGAGAGCAAGTGATAAATTTTTAAACAAACAAATTAATTGAACACACTAAGAGAAATTTCGATCTGTTTGTTTGTTTATTTCTCGCAAACTTTACTACACTCAAACTCACACATAAAACTTGTACGTCAACCTGTTCATCAGTATTTTGGCCATAGTTTTTGAATGAAATTGTTAATAGCAACAACAACTACAACAACAACAAAACAGTTTGTTATTGTTTTTAGCTGATTTGTTTGTGAAGAATTTTAAGGCCGACTAAATAAAAAACCCCATAAAATACAAAAACAACACAATTTAATGTCGCGATTTTTATTCTCGTTTTTAAGAGTTCGAAAGAAATAAAAAGAAGCATTGACGTCAATGAATGAAGTTGGGGTTTTTTTCGATTTTTTTTTTTTTTGTTTTCTTATTAACTATTAAATATAGTTTTATTTATGTTTATGTTTCAAATCTATTAGTAGTAGACGGTATTATTTTTTAAATATTTAAAGTTAAAAAAATAACGAATGGAAAATAAACAAACGACCACACGTTTTAGAAATTTGTTGTTAATTTTAGGGCGGAGAGATAGATTGCGAGGTATGGAAGGGATAAATACAGGCTTATCAAATAAAATGGGTTAATGTTTATTGTCTAGGCTTATTTTGTTTTATTTGTTCCTCGTTTTTTTTTAATATTTATTTGTTTTTATCATTGCTAGTACGCAAGGTTGTATAAATAGGCTGAAATTTAACAAAAAAAAATATATTTAAATTTGATCTAAAATACAATATTTGTGTCTTTTAATAAAATAAATAAATAAAAGAAAAAAATTTTCAAAAAAATTTAGGGTGCTGGAAGGGACTAGAGAATATAAATAAGTGTTTTCAACGAATTTGTTATTAAATTTAATAATAAATTTATTTAAGAAAACTTTTAAATTGAAAAAATTTATTCATTTCTTTTGCAGTTAATTTTTAATAAATTGCAAATTTGAAAATTTCGAATTTCTAAAATCCAAATTTTTACAATAATTCAAATGCATAGTTAGTTATTAAATTACATTAGTTAGTTAGTTAGTTAGTTAGTTAATTAGTTAGTTAGTTAGTAGTTAGTAGTAGTTAGTTAGTAGTTAGTTAGTTAGTTATTTAGTTAGTTAGTTAGTTAGTTAGTTAGTTAGTTAGTTAGTTAGTTAGTTAGTTAGTTAGTTAGTTAGTTAGTTAGTTAGTTAGTTAGTTAGTTAGTTAGTTAGTAGTTAGTTAGTTAGTTAGTTAGTTAGTTAGTTAGTTAGTTAGTTAGTTAGTTAGTTAGTTAGTTAGTTAGTTAGTTAGTTAGTTAGTTAGTTAGTTAGTTAGTAGTTAGTAGTTAGTTAGTTAGTTAGTTAGTTAGTTAGTTAGTTAGTTAGTTAGTTAGTTAGTTAGTTAGTAGTTAGTTAGTTAGTTAGTTAGTTAGTTAGTTAGTTAGTTAGTTAGTTAGTTAGTTAGTTAGTTAGTTAGTTAGTTAGTTAGTTAGTTAGTTAGTTAGTTAGTAGTTAGTTAGTTAGTTAGTTAGTTAGTTAGTTAGTTAGTTAGTTAGTTAGTTAGTTAGTAGTTAGTTAGTTAGTTAGTTAGTTAGTTAGTTAGTAGTTAGTTAGTTAGTTAGTTAGTTAGTTAGTTAGTTAGTTAGTTAGTTAGTTAGTTAGTTAGTTAGTTAGTTAGTTAGTTAGTTAGTTAGTTAGTTAGTTAGTTAGTTAGTTAGTTAGTAGTTAGTTAGTTAGTTAGTTAGTTAGTTAGTAGTTAGTAGTTAGTTAGTTAGTTAGTTAGTTAGTTAGTTAGTTAGTTAGTTAGTTAGTTAGTTAGTTAGTTAGTTAGTTAGTTAGTTAGTTAGTTAGTTAGTTAGTTAGTTAGTTAGTTAGTTAGTTAGTTAGTTAGTTAGTTAGTTAGTTAGTTAGTTAGTTAGTTAGTTAGTTAGTTAGTAGTTAGTTAGTTAGTTAGTTAGTTAGTTAGTAGTTAGTTAGTAGTTAGTTAGTTAGTAGTTAGTAGTTAGTTAGTTAGTTAGTTAGTTAGTTAGTTAGTTAGTTAGTTAGTTAGTTAGTTAGTTAGTTAGTTAGTTAGTTAGTTAGTTAGTTAGTTAGTTAGTTAGTTAGTTAGTTAGTTAGTTAGTTAGTTAGTTAGTTAGTTAGTTAGTTAGTTAGTTAGTTAGTTAGTTAGTTAGTTAGTTAGTTAGTTAGTTAGTTAGTTAGTTAGTAGTTAGTTAGTTAGTTAGTTAGTTAGTAGTTAGTTAGTTAGTTAGTAGTTAGTTAGTTAGTTAGTTAGTTAGTTAGTTAGTTAGTTAGTTAGTAGTTAGTTAGTTAGTTAGTTAGTTAGTTAGTTAGTTAGTTAGTTAGTTAGTTAGTTAGTTAGTTAGTTAGTTAGTTAGTTAGTTAGTTAGTTAGTAGTTAGTTAGTTAGTTAGTTAGTTAGTTAGTTAGTTAGTTAGTTAGTAGTTAGTTAGTTAGTTAGTTAGTTAGTTAGTTAGTTAGTTAGTTAGTTAGTTAGTTAGTTAGTTAGTTAGTTAGTTAGTTAGTTAGTTAGTTAGTTAGTTAGTTAGTTAGTTAGTTAGTTTGTGGAATTATAACTTTCAAAGTTTTAAAAGTTTTATATTTGAAAAATAATAATTTTTAAATTCGAAAAATTTAACTGCTAAAATCGAAAACTTTCAAAAATCATTCAAATGAACTCAATTTAAATATTCGCAAAATATGCATTTTCTTAAGCAAAATATTTAATTTAATTTTACAACTTTCTTTTCTCGCTCTCTACTTCCAGCATAAACCAAAAAAGTCTCCACAACAACTACAACAACCTTAAAACAAAGAATCGATTTGTATCAAATGAAAATTCCTCAATATTAAAACAAAACAAAAATACCAAGAAAACATAAACCAAAAGACTTCTTTCCAAAAAGAAACAAATAAAGAAAATATAACAAAATAAGAAAGAAAACATCATCAACATGCTGCAGAAACTGTTACAAATTTATTACAGCATTTCAAAAAACATTCCTTGATAAGTCTACAAAGAAACACTCGGAACTCAACTTAATACAACAAAAAAACATAAATAAAAAATAGCAAAACACCAAACAAATGAAAAAATATTCAATATACTTGTTAAAAAGAATCCACATACATTTAAAGTAGAAAACAACATTTAAAACAGAAAAAGAAATAGCATATCACCACATATCTCTTTGAAAATCCAACTCTAGTTGAAAATCAGTGGGGAAAAAAAGAAAACCCACCACACAATACACTCTCTTAACTATTCGCCTGCTCAATTTCAAATTCCAAACAGTTTGAACAGACAGAAAACAAAACAACAACAGGTAAACAAACTGTCTCCTGCGGCGGCTTTCGATGAATTTCAATCCGGCCTCTTTGCGCAACAGCCTCATGCATACGAAAATCATGGAATGGACCAATGATGATGCTCTAGAACTTATCGAACAATATCGCTCACATACCGAACTGTGGAATCGTGCCGATCCCAAGTACAAAGATAAATTGTGTCGCTTTCGCGCATGGTCGGAAATTGCTGAACGCTTTGGCTGCAGCAAGGCTGAGGTCGAACGCAAAATGAATGTCTTGTTGACCCAGTACAGACGAGAGAAACACAAAATGTTGGTCAAATTGTATCAGGGCATACAGCCGAATCCCTCCAAGTGGTATGCTTTCAAACGTTTCGACTTTATGGAGGCGGGTGGTGGTAGTGCCAGTGCTCTAGCGGCTGGTATAGCTGGTGGGGGAGGTGGTGTGGCAGGGGGTGGTGGTGGTATAAATGTTAGCCTGAATTGCAGTGGCAGCAGTAATAGTGGCATTACAACAAATGGTCATCATCACCATCATGCTGCAGCAGCCGCTGCTGCAGCTGCTTTAAATGGTCTAGCTGCTGCCGGTTATGATACCTCAACAGCAGCGGCAGCAGCTCCAACAACATCACATCATCGCAGAATGAAAAGTAAAGAGATGAAATATTTTGGCGCGGTGAGTATATACACTAGCAATAGTTTTTGTTGAGAGTAAAATAATTCGTTTTTATTTTTATTTCAATTAAGCATCATTTTTTTTTATTTTACGTTTTTATATTTTTCTGCATTCTTATCATAATAAATAAAGAATAAGAGACAAAAATGTATTCGTTAAGGGATAGTTAGCTAGTTACTAATGATAAGTTTTTAGTGGAGACAAAAACCCATAAAGAATTTATGTCAGACTGCCAAACAAATTACAAAGTTACCAGTCATTCAACGTTAGTAGATTGATAAAATCTGATGTCTTATTTCTATGATCCGTAAGCCCTAGATAACTCGCAAAAGTCAGTTAGTACCTACATCAGTTTCTCTCTATAGGTCTCTAGAAATGGCTGGGTTTCCTGACTATAAATATGTATGTGCATATTCAAAAGATTAAAAAGAACGTTTTAAAGAGATGTTATTAGTTGATCGTTTTCAGATAAGTTCAATCAACTGGGTTATCCCCGACTTGATTGAAATTGATGACTTCAATAACAGTGTCATTGCTATGAATGACTCTATTAAAATTTTCTTGGAATATTTAATTTTTTGCCCTGGGTGTTCTTCCTATCTGTTATAATTATGTTGGGAATTTTAAAAAAAGTCAAAACAACACCAGATACAACAAAACATACAGACTGTAATAATGATGTAAACAATTTAATAAAAAAATATTGTTTTTCTCTTTTAAAGAAAAACAATTTTTTCTGTTGTTGTATTGAAATTCTAACCAAAATTAACAATGCACAGTGGCACCGAATTAGAAACAATATGTAGATAGATAGATAGATTGATAGATAGATAGATAGATAGATAGATAGATAGATAGATAGATAGATAGATAGATAGATAGATAGATAGATAGATAGATAGATAGATAGATAGATAGATAGATAGATAGATAGATAGATAGATAGAGATAGATAGATAGATAGATAGATAGATAGATAGATAGATAGATAGATAGATAGATAGATAGATAGATAGATAGATAGATAGATAGATAGATAGATAGAAGATAGATAGATAGATAGATAGATAGATAGATAGATAGATAGATAGATAGATAGATAGATAGATAGATAGATAGATAGATAGATAGATAGATAGATAGATAGATAGATAGATAGATAGATAGATAGATAGATAGATAGATAGATAGATAGATAGATAAGATAGATAGATAGATAGATAGATAGATAGATAGATAGATAGATAGATAGATAGATAGATCGATAGATAGATAGATAGATAGATAGATAGATAGATGATAGATAGATAGATAGATAGATAGATAGATAGATAGATAGATAGATAGATAGATAGATAGATAGATAGATAGATAGATAGATAGATAGATAGATAGATAGATAGATAGATAGATAGATAGTAGATAAGAAGATAGATAGATAGATAGATAGATAGATAGATAGATAGATAGATAGATAGATAGATAGATAGATAGATAGATAGATAGATAGATAGATAGATAGATAGATAGATAGATAGATAGATAGATAGATAGATAGATAGATAGATAGATAGATAGATAGATAGATAGATAGATAGATAGATAGATAGATAGATAGATAGTAGATAGATAGATAGATAGATAGATAGATAGATAGATAGATAGATAGATAGATAGATAGATAGATAGATAGATAGATAGATAGATAGATAGATAGATAGATAGATAGATAGATAGATAGATAGATAGATAGATAGATAGATAGATAGATAGATAGATAGATAGATAGATAGATAGATAGATAGATAGATAGATAGATAGATAGATAGATAGATAGATAGATAGATAGATAGATAGATAGATAGATAGATAGATAGATAATGTGAATTGTGAAATTAGCAAAACTTCAATTACAATTACATAATTGACCAATATGTTATTGGTCAATTACACATTACAAGTAATTGTAATTGGGAAAACTTACCATTACAAGTAATTGTGATTGATTATTGCTCAATTACACGTAACAAGTAATTGTAATTGACTACGTCATGAATTACTTTGTATAATCATTATCTCCCAAGTCTGAGTAATGGTGGCATTACATGGTCATCATCATATGGATGATATAGCATGTCATATGCCATATTTTATTTATATAGTCCCACTGTGCGATGAAAAATATCACAAATTTACAAAAAGCAGTTCCTCAAACTCTGACTGACTACTTGTTTTTCACATTTTCAACTTTTATATCAATGAAAACAACAGCATGAAAAGAGAAATATTGTAAACAACAAGAGTATGAGTAAAGAGTGAACAAAAGAGTAGGTTTGGTAAAATGACATTGCAAAAAAGCAACAGAAAATAAAATACAAACTAAAAAATCAACACTAAACGTAACAAACAGGTGCATTTAAACGCAAAAAAAAAAACTGCATGCTACGTTTTTTCGAGAAGGGGTGATGAGGTTGAGGGGAGTAATAGATATGAAGGTAAAAAAGAAAAATAAAGCAACAACTAAAAAAATGGGGGGGGAAAATTATAATTTGTATATAGTTTTTGTTGTTTGTTTTGGTTTATTTATTTTTGTTTTTTTTTGTTCTTTTTCCTTTAGTTGATGTGGTTGTTGTAGTTGTTTTTATTTTTATTTCATTCAAGTATATATTGAGTATGAACAACAACACAAAAAAAAGAGAGTACTTATACGTAGTACACGTAAAATGTAGTAGTGTTGTTGTTATTTATGATTTTGTTGTAGTATTTTGTAAGGGTATTTAGTTGTTTTGAAAAAACACAACGATGAAGGCTGTGTATGGAAATGAATGTATGTATGTATGGATGTGTGTTTGTTTGACTGAAAACATTGAACAAGGAAGATGATGATGAAGATGAGTTTGTGCAAAAGTGTTTCTGTGCTATTGTGCAAGCCCCAAACCTCCACCATGGGTTTTAATGGAGTGTGGTTTCGTTTTTCTTGTTTTTGTTTTGGCAATCGTTGATGAAAATGTAAACAAAATTCTTCTTATAGGTACTTTTTGTTGTGTGCGTATTTGAGGGTTATTGTGTTTTTTACACATAATATTTTATTGTTGTCGGTTTGTTCTTTCTCGTTTTAAATCTCTCAATAAAAGAATTTATGGAATTAATCCTGTATGGCGCAACAGAAAAGCCTTGACTTGTGTATGTGTATGTGCGAAATTAGCTTGCGTGAAAGATGTTTTCAAAGTTTCTCCCTGAAGGACTTCAGAATGAGAAGGTTAAAATGCCGGTCTTTGTTTTAATTGCTTAATAAAAATCAAGGATGAAAAACAAATACTTATTTGCTACTGGATTCTTTAAAAAGAGCTTACATTCCTGCTTACCACAATAGTGTTTCAGGGTATACATAGAGAGAAAAGGAAATATACACGCCTGGCACCAAATTGACACCAAAAAGTTAATAATTTTTCAATAACATCCGTTGTCAAAGTGTTTACATACGTACTACAATACTATGTAATATTGACAACGCAACGTTGTCAACATTGCAAACGATTCGTTGTCGAAATCTAAATTTTATACACATCCGTTATCTAAATGTTAACAAACGTGGTAAGCTCACTAGTGACAACGGATGGTACTGACAAAATATAAACAGTTTAGTGTCAATTTGGTACCAGGAGTGTATATTTGTGTACCTCTAGATCTTCCGAAGAACTTTTAAAATCTAGGCTTCTACAGAGGATCACTTAGAGAAAGGACAACTTGATTTACATAAATAGATCAGAAATGGAGAATTAGCTTAAACGGAAGCTATATTTAGAGAATCAGTAACGATTGTCGAGAAATAAAGCCAATTACATCCGCTCGACCAGTTTCGACGGGTTACGTGGTTCCTCCTGACTGTTCCGTTGTGACGCTCTAGTGATCGTAGAGATCCTTTATAGTATTACTACTTCCAGTTCTTCAAAAAGAGCAGAAACAGCAGAATCTAAATAATGTTCTCTGCTCTCAGAGAATGAGATATAGTCTCCTCTTCCTTCTCATTATGACTACATCTACAGTAGTATTCAATTGTAATCTATACCCATTCTCCTGACATGATTGTCAATAGCACCGATAACAGCGTTCGTATCTGATCCCTACGAAAACTTAACATTAAGCTTGACCTACGGTCATCATATAGAGGTCAGATTGACCTCGAAGTTAAAACGTTGGTTTCGCTAATCCATCTGATTGGAGCCATTTAATATAGTTCAGTTTGAACAAGTACCTTATCAAGTACCAATCTTTAAGGGAAATACCAGTAAAGGCGTCGATTTTATCTTCCCTTCTTATCGCAGCATTCCTGGTCAGTTCGTCAGCTATACAATTTCCCTGACAGTTGTTATGTCCAGCAGTGGCTCGCTATCTCATTCAGAGATATCCGGCATTATTCGATTAAACTAGATGTCGTGAAGACACCCGCTTGATTTCATATCGTTATATCCAGGGACCTAAATCATTCTCATTCAGGGATACCCGGCATTATTCGATTAACCGAGATATCATGAAGACACCCGATAGATTTTAGATCTCGGCTTTGTTGTCCTTATAGACATACTGCATACATACATATATCACCCGATAGGTGTATACAGTAATATCTGCCTATAACACACTACAATAATCAGAGAAGACTTGTTTCCAAATCTTTCAATGTAGAAGCTACCATCCTTCCAACCTTTCCACTCCTCTTGGAGCTAAAGCTAAACGTTCGTTATAACATGGGGTGAGTGGGACTCAGATTTCTCTTAGGAATCCGGTTGAAGAAACGTTTATCGTGGTTGGGTCTCGCGAGATGTCAAAGTGCTTTACGGAACACCTGCCGTGTTGACATTTTGACATCTCGAGAGACCCAAACGTTTCTTCAACCGCATTCCTGAGAGAAATCTGAACTTTGCTCAAGTACTCGAGCTATCCAATTTCTGAACATTGCTGCCTCGTTGCTTAACTTCCTAGATGCAAGAATTCGATTT